GTCGCGATCGTTCCAGACTCGTCAGACCCGTGCACGCGTCTATGACGCGGTTGGCACTAGTACAAATTTTATACAGTGCCAACCGCTTCATTTGTTTTCTTCATTCGACGCGCGGGCAAGATCTAGGCACCCTTCTCCGCTTCCGCTGAACTAAAGGACTCCACCTCGCCGTACCCAAGGTACTATATATCACTGCTTCGTGTTCCGCTCAGATCCACAAAACAAATAAGCATCTGCCAGGACGGGCTGTTAAGCTATCACAACCGTGCGTTTTGCGATTACTTCTCGACAAGAAAAGCGATTACAAATTCGTTGGACGGCCTGTCTTCTGCGATTGCACCACCCGTTGCCGATCGGTCACTTTGCACTTTGCCGTATCGTCGCACGATGGTTCTCAACGGCACGATTCGCCCTATCGACGTGTCCATGACAAAAACCACCTCCACCATGTCCATCGAGTCGGGAATCTTGGACTGCGTCGTGTACGCGCCAGACGAGACGCCGCCACTGGCCTGTCTCGCCGGGTTCCCTTACTTTGTGTTGACCGTGGCCTCGATCCAGGCCGGACATTTTGTCTTCCTCAACAACGATATGGGCTTTGCCGGCTGTCTCCTCTACGCCCTCACATACATGTGTGTGGTGGCCCTCGACGGACTGGTGAACCCAAGCCTTGGCAAGAACGTCCGCACGCTGCGCGCCAATGGCTTCTCGGATCGCTACACGCTGCAGATGATGCTCTTCAACTTGCTCTCGAACGTTCTCATGACGTGGCTCGTCTTTCAGAAGTTTTGCGGACCAGACGCGGTGAACGCGACCTTGGACTTCGCTTCGTACTCGGTCTTTACGGTCGCGGCGATCGCCGCCAACTTGGCCATGACCGAAGTCGTCTTCTATTTTGCGCACAAGTGCCTCCACGAAGTGCTGCCGCATCTTCACTTGATGCACCACTGCGTCTTTGCGCCGACGCATTCGTCGAACTTTATCTTTAACCCGATCGACTTTGCCTTCGAGCTTGGCTTGCCCACCGTCGCTTTGTTTGTGAACCATTTTGGACTCTGGCAGCAAGATCATACCGTGCTCCTCGTCTCGTACATGTTTATCCAGACCTTCTACGCCCTCGACCACAGCGATTTCCTCAAGCTCTACCATTTTCATCACCACGCCCGTCTCGACGATGTCTACACGGTCTACATCAAGTACCGCAACCCGACCAACGCGAAGCGCGAAGCGGTCCGCAAGATCATCAAGCGGTCGACCAAGGTTGCGTGATCGATCCTTTTAGTACGATACTGCGCTCCAAGGACGACGACAAGATACATCCCAATGACAGACATCTTCACCACGAGTCTCGAGCAATAGAGATAGAACCTTGTGTTGGCCGCTCGGACGACCAACCCTACCCGCACCAATATGGAATGGACAAATCATGTCCATACAGGATCTTGCAGACATGTCGTCGCATGCTGCAAAGCAAATTGCAAGATCAACGCGCCACGTTGGATATCGGGATGCGAAAGCCAGTTCTGTGTGCCACGCTCGACGTCCCACGGTATTCCCTCGCACGTTCGTACTATCTGATCCGGTGCAAGCCGAAATTCAAACGCTTGCCGCAATGCCACATGAGCACGATCCCGCTCGTCAATCCCACGTCGAACACTGGCGTCACTCGAGCGCATCGCGCAGACGGTGCATGTACATGTACCGTTGTTGATACGACAACCGTCTCTAAATTACAAAATATATACAAAAAAGCTCTAAAATCACAGCATCTTGTTGGCGTTCTTCACACGACGATCATTTCGTGCACGAGCGACCCGTCCTCGAGACTACACACACAGACAATGCGTCAACAACACCACCATTCTTTGTGTAAACTTTGATATCCAACGGTAAATACAATTTACATCTCGTAGATGGCGTCGACGACCGCCGCGTGCTTTTCAAGGACACGCGACCGCTTGAGCTTGAGCGTCGGCGTGAGCTCGTCGCCCGCAACGCTAAAGTCGTTGTCGAGGATCGCATACTTGGCGATGTAGTGGCCAAACGAAAAGAGCTGGCTCGTCGTCTTGTTGACGTCCGCGAGCCGGTCGTCCAAATACGCTTGGACCTTGGGGCAGCGCTTCGCATCGTCGACTGTCCGCGCCCGGGACCCCAGGACGCCGCACATTTCTCGCACGTCGTCCTCGAGCGTCGGCGTCGGGCGGCCCTCTTCGTCCAAGAGCACCTACAGACCATAGGGTTAGGGTACAATACCATTTTTGGTGTGGAGTACTTTAAGCGTAAAGAGTGCCAGCAAAAACTCGCGCTGCTCGCCAATGACCATGACGTTCGAGAGGAGGGGAATCTCGGCCTTGAGAATGCTCTCGAGTGCAACCGGCGATATCCGCTCGCCACCGGCGGTCCGGATCGTCTCGGGAATGGACCCCGTGATGGTCGCAAACCCATCTTCGTCGATGACGGCTGTGTCGCCCGAGTAGAGCCAGCCCTCTTCGTCGATCACATTTTTCGTGTCTTGGTCGCGCTTGAGGTAGCCCATCATGACGTGCCGGCCGCGGAAGAGCAGCTCGTGCGTGTCCTTGGTGACGCGCATCTCTGTCCCGAGGAGTGGTCGACCCACCGAGCCTAGTGTATCATCGTACACGCGTTGTAACGCAGATAAGAGGTGTACCCATCTTCCAGCAGTGCAGCACGTTCATTGTCGCCAAGCCGCCTGTCTCGGTTTGACCGAAAAACTCCATGATGGGAATGTCGAGACCGCCGTAGAACTCGAGGGTCTCGGACCGAAGCGGCGCCGACGTGACCGAAAATGTCTTGCAGCTACCATCAACCATGATAGGTGCGTTGCGGAAAAGGCGGGTTGTCGTACCGGTCGAGGCCCAGCGAGGCCTTCACGCGCGAGAGCACGAGCTTTTCAGCGATCCCCACTCCGCAGGGCGGCCCGCCGTGTTGGCCGTACTGCGAGATGCGCGTCTTCTTGATCGCACGCGACGTCGCAAAGTGCACGAGCTGCTTCTTGAGACCGCGCGACTTGCCGTGCAGGTCCCGCATCTTGACGGCCATCTTGTCCCAGACATACGGGACGCCGCAAAAGCGGGTCGGGCGAATCTCCTTGATGATCTTGCCGAGACCGCCACGGAGTGCGTCCCGCGGGGCAAAGTGGACTTCGTAGCCAATGACGAGGGGCAAGATGATGTCGTTGAGCTGCGGCGTGATGTGTGCTAACGGCAAGTACGACACGAGCACGTCGCGGTTGCTCAAGCGCGTGTGGTAGTCGCGGTCAATGCTACCCGAAACCGCCGCGGTTAGGGTCTTCCTGCCAACAACGACATATAAAAAAGTACCTCTTGTCCATGCACCATGCGTTGAAGCAAAAGTTGTCGTGTGAGATCATGACACCCTTGGGGAGACCGGTCGTGCCGCTCGTGTAGACCAAGGCTGCGCAGTGGCCCGGCTCGACGCTCTCCATGCGGCGCTTGAGTGTGCCCCGCGTGATGTCGTCGCCGAGGATCGCGAAGGCGTCCCAGCCGTACACGGGAATCGGCGACCGGAGAGTCGTGGGCACGCGCTTGCCATAGAGCACGAGGGCCATGAGCCGTGGCAGGTACGGCTTCATCGCAATGAGCTTCTCGAGCTGCGCGACGCTGTCACAGACGACGATGCGCGCTTCCGAGTGGCCGCAAATGTACTGGCAGAGATCGTTGGTCGTGCCGAGGTAGATGCCTAGACGTCATCTCCACGTTGTGGATTGGATTCGGGACGAGACAGAAGCGATGTACCGGTGGCCGCCGCGCCCGCCATGATGGTGCCCATGTACGCAATGAGCCACTCGGACGAATTCGCCCCGCAAATGCCAACGACTTCGTGCGGCTGGAGCCCGATGCGGATGAGGCTCTTGGCGAATTCTTGGGCCTGCGTGTAGTATTGGCGCCACGTCAGCGAATACCTAGTGCATGGATTTCAATCGAATGTGGCGGCGAGTGAGAGTTGAACCCACGCACCACGTGTCCTTGCGCTTCTCGTGGAGCGCCTTTTGGTACCCGTACCGCTTGACCGTCCGCTGAAAGAGCGAAATGAGCGTACTCGACGGCGGCAGCTTGTCGGTCGGGAGGCGGCTCGTGTTGGGACGAATGGCAACCGTTTGGTTGAGCCGCGTCGTCTAGCCTTTCGGTTAGCAGCCGAGGCAGCGCGCGATTGCACGTACCACATAGGCCGAGGAAGACACCATCGCGTTCGCCGGACGATCCACTTATGGCGCTCGGACCAGGATGCGGCTGGCGCGTAGTAACACATGGTCCTTTTCGTGGGGCCCCAGTTACACCGCCAATGAACTCAGTGTGCACTTGGCCTTCCAGTGACCAAGTCCTCAAGAGTTTCTCAACGACCTCGTGGAGCAATTATCATCGCACCTTGGGCACGTGATGACAGCGATTGATGGCAATAATGTAGCCCGAGGACAAGTCGAGGAAGGCCTTGGACTACGGAGCACACGAGGTACCCATCAAACAAGAAATGGCGCCCACGAGTACCCAAGTGGTACCGGTACCAATGCACTTCATACGGCACACGTCTTTTCCCCACACGCCACCAGCGGTCGACTGTGCGATCAGACCATTCGAATCTGCTCGAGCTACTTTTGCGAGTGAGTCACGACGACGCTGTGATATTCGACTACCAGGGTACATGTATTATTAATATTAGTACAGGATATCAAATTCCTTGGTCGAACGAACGCGCACGCAAGACGCTTTCATATCTCCTCTGCCAGCGCCCGATGGCTCCAACCGCCATTCCACACGCCAACAAACTTGGTCCTGTGATCAAGCTACTGGACAACAGCGCCCGCGTCTGGATCCTCCTTCCTTCTCGCCAACAAGTAGCATCAAATGTCCTCCCGCATGGTCCTCCCGTCACGCCCGACTAGATGAGACAAAAATGATATATGACCCAGTGATAGAGACAGTCTGGATAAAACATGGGTGGTGGGGCCAAAACGATGTGGGAAAGGGGACCCGTTGATGCACGCCAAGCAGCGCGCGCGTCGGGCGGTGGAGACCCCGTGAGTGTCAAGAAATGCAGAGCACTTGCCTCCGTTCTTTCGTTGCATGTCGCAGGCAGTCGCATGACGATCTCTCGTTACGATGGGTGCGCCACTGTTGCTCACACTCGTCCTACTGCTCAAGGAGCAATTGACGCAGCGAGTCAGAGCGGTGGAGCTGTGGTGTCCCAAGCGCGGTGCAGAAGCGACGGACCAGCGCTCGTTTTTAGCGCCGTGTTTCTTGCGTCCGCGTTGGGACGACGGTATACTAGGGCAGAAGTGGGCGGCAAATGCCGTCTACTACACTGTAGTGACTACACCGGGTCGTAGGTTTTGAAAAGTCCATAGTCGGTCCACGCGCACATGGACGCGGTCGGTTGCGAAATAGTATGTGTGTCGCTCAACCGGCAACTGCAACGACAATGCAACCAGCTACTACCATGTACGGTAGCAATCGGTATGGCCGCCGGGTCATTGAGCCGACGCCATTGTCGTAATACAGCCCCGTGCACACTTCGTAGTAGTCGAGTCGCACCGCTGTATGGGAATGCAAAGGACCGCTGCAGCGATCAATCTCAACTCTTGGCACACGAACAAAACGAGAATGCAAACGTGCACTTGCTACACGGCGGGGATGGGCTATACCCTACCCCGCGACCCCACCCCGTGTTTTCAAGCTTTGCAGTGTCGTGGAGCATGACGCAGCTACCGTACGTTTGGGGAAACGCTATCGGGCTTAGTACACGCACGAACGTCGCCCGACGCTGGCTCGACAATGTCGCCGCCAAGCTGTTCATTAATGTCCGCTACTCGATCGGCACGGGGCTCGTAGGTATGTGAAGCGCCACACCTGGGAAAGCAATCCTTGATGGGAAAGGCGACCTCGTTCCTTGCACTGCGGCAACGAACGCCATTTGCAAGATGGCACCAACTTGTGTGCGCTCTGGACAACACGATCGCCGCCAAATGTCCTTCAATCCAATAAAATCAATATCCTAAAACTCTTTGTAACAAAGATTACGCGAAACACGTTCATTTCCATTATATATATAGATATATATATCCTCGTCGGTGCACCAGACTACTAATGTACTCGTACTCGAGTGCAATGCCCCTCCTTCCAACGGCGCCATGTGAAATGCATGACCGTCAAATTCCATTGGCATCACGGCGGACAGGTGCCGACAGCCACACCGCCTACCGTGTTATTTTGCCGACACTCGGCATTCCGCGATGCGTCCATCCATCGTCGTTCGAAATATCCACTACACGATATGACACGCTCCCCAACGCTTCTTCTTCTTCTCTCGACCGTACTCAAATGCTCCTAAATCGTCCTTCATGGCCGTCACGCCGCCCTGTGCGTCGTCGTCTTCCGTCTACAGCACTTCATAACCGATACTATTACCATTGCCGTACAGTGGCGTTCCCACCCGACTCTCAATATTTCTGTCGGATAGAAACCCCCGTGCCCGGCAACGATCGCATTAAAATACCTTGCGATTTGTATCCAGGTTGGCAAAAGTTGGAGTCTAGAATCGCACCAGTCATTACAAGAGCCAATGTCTCTCGCCCGAGTCTACGCCGACGCCTGCGAGTCGCGGCCGCGCGAGTACTGGGACTACGACAACCTCTCGGTGGCCTGGGGCGACCAGGACGCGTACGAGGTCTCGCGCAAGATCGGCCGCGGCAAGTACTCGGAGGTCTTCGAGGGCGTGGCCCTCGCCACGGGCGCCAAGTGCGTCATCAAGATCCTCAAGCCCGTCAAGAAGAAGAAGATCAAGCGCGAGATCAAGATCCTGCAGAATCTGAGCGGTGGGCCCAACATTGTCAAGCTCCTCGACGTGGTCCGCGACCCGCAGTCCAAGACGCCGTCGCTCATCACCGAGTACGTCAACAACCACGACTTCAAGACGCTCTACCCGACCTTGACCGACTTTGACATTCGCTACTACATGTTCGAGCTGCTCAAGGCGCTCGACTTTTGCCATGCCAATGGCATCATGCACCGCGACGTCAAGCCGCACAACGTGATGATTGACCACGAGAAGCGCCAGCTTCGCTTGATCGACTTTGGCCTGGCCGAGTTTTACCACCCGCACCGCGAGTACAACGTCCGCGTCGCGTCGCGCTACTTCAAGGGCCCGGAGCTCCTCGTCGACATGCAAGAGTACGACTACTCGCTCGACATGTGGAGCGTCGGCTGCGTCCTCGCCGGCATGATCTTCAAGAAGGAGCCGTTCTTCCACGGCCACGACAATTACGACCAGCTCGTCAAGATCGCCAAGGTCCGCGGTACCGAAGACCTCTTTGAGTACCTCTCGACGTACGATCTCGAGCTCGATGCGCAGTACGATGGCATCCTTGGCACGCACTCGAAGAAGCCGTGGGAGAAGTTTATCACGCCCGAAAACAAGCACCTCGTGACGCCGGAGGCACTCGACTTTCTCGAGAGCCTCCTCCAGTACGACCACCAGAAGCGCCCGACCGCCAAGGAGGCCATGGCCCACCCGTTCTTCCAAGTCATTCGCGACCACCACGACGCGCAGCAAAAGGCCTAAGCCGAGAGTACGACTCGAGAATATTCACGATTCACTTAGATATACACACGCATCCTTAAACACAGGCTCTTGCTGGAATTGCGCGTCCCGTTGGGCGCCGACCGGCTGTGTATCGCCGCCTCGCTACGGCCGCCTCTGCAGTGTGGGCTGGTGGTAGCGAGTGTGCAGTCGAGTGCTTTACGCAAGCCAACGAACTACACCGTGTGCCTCTTGCCGAAGCTTACTTAGTACTCTTCTTCTTGGTCCATCAAGGAACACGAGTCCAAGGCCACAGACCAGGCCCACAGAGCGTCGGCGTCGCGATGGGTACAGCTACGGCTCGCCACTTTTTTAAATCGAATGCACGTTGCTCGACGGGCACTGTCAGCTGCACTATGAAGAAGTATGGACGCATGAAAAAGCGCGGAGGATGGGCGTCAAATCGGAGTAATCACAGTCCAGATGCGTCGTCTTGCACGCTTCGATAGGCCTTGGATCGTCGAACGTTCAAATGAGAGGGATTGGCGCGAGCGGGATGGATGACGCGAGCGCCGCGGCCGGGCGGCGTGCCGCTGCAGAGGCTGCAACGACGACGGCGACGAGTTGCATCGAGGGCTCATCTTCCTCGCGGCCATTCAAGCACGGCGTCCCTTGCGCAAGGTACTCGTTGGTCCAAGCTTTGGCTTCCACGCGAAATTTCAACCCGCCTGTCCGCTTCAAGTTTGGATCTTTCTGCCTGCACGTTTCCCACATCGTGTAATACACCATTCACACGACGCACACGATACTAACATTATATGCGATGCCTTTTACACAGCATTTCACACCGTGTGTTTTCCGGCAACCGTTCATCAAAGGGCAAACTCGATGGGTAGAAAGGCCGCCTCAGCGTCAAAGTAGCTTGGACTAAGTATGCGACTCAGATCTGAGAACGACGGACCTTCCTGGGTTCAACCAGCTGGCCCCCGAAACGACGCTGACGTCCATGGAGCCCACTGCATGGAGCTGCTCACTTTGGCTTTTGCTCCGTACAAGCACTTCAACGAGCATGCTGCCGTACGGCTCGGGCACCCAAGGTACTCTGTCCAAAGCTTGACCGATCGTTCCGCTCAATGGCTGCTAGAACTCAAGCATATTCGCATTGCGCGGTCGTCGAGCGCGTCCGAGGTCTCGTGGAAGCACGTGGCCGTCGGCGCGACCGTCGCCGTCGCCACGCTCGGATACGCGGCCACGATGCACTCGATGGTCAGCAACCAAGCGGCGGCGTTGGACGCACTCCACGCGCAGATGCTGGCCATGGGCAGCGTCAAGCCGCTCAAGCACGCCGCGCCGGCCATCGACGCGCTGCCGCACAAGTACGCAGTGGAAAACGTCACGCCCCGCAAGACGCAGGACCTCCGCGGCACGTGCTGGGACTTTGCGACCATCTCCGTGCTCGAGTACTCGTACCGTCAGCAAGGCATCGCGCGCGGGTGGCTCGCGCCCGACGAGTATGTCTCGCTCTCGGAACAAGCGTACGGCGCCGACCTGCTCCAGCTGTGCACGACCAAGGACAAGACCAAGTGCTACTTGACGGCGACGCAAAACACGACCGAGGGCGGCTTCATTGAAGAGTTTGCGCTCGTCAGCAACGACGTCGCGATCTTCCCGGACGCGATTTGCCCGTACACGCCGTGGCCGGGCAACGACACAGTCTGCCCGGGCTTGACCGACGCGGCCCGCGCGTCGAACCCGCTCAAGGCGACCGTCAACAGCCTCAAAGAGTACTTTGACGTCCAGGACATCAAGGCGGCCTTGTTCCGTGAGAAGCGGTAGGACCGATGCTTATTCGTATTCCTTGCAAAGGCTTATCGTGGTGTGCAGCGCGCTTGGCTTTAGCACGACGATGGCAGAGATCACGCGCTACATCCCGTGCGTCGGCGATCTCACCAAGGACCCGCGCTGTGACGTGGCGTCGCCGCTGTGCACCTTGTGCCCGCCGGGGATCCCAACCACGTGCTGCGTCACGACAAAGGGCGGCGAAGACTACAACATGGACGGCGAGTTCACGTCGCATTACGGCATGGAGGCCGAGGGCGGCCACGCCATGACGATTGTTGGCTACAACGACGAGTATACGACCAAGGACGGCTACACGGGCGGCTACATCCTCAAGAACTCGTGGTGGGACGGTGTCGACCCGCCGCTTGGCCCGGTTCACGCCCGTGGCAGCCACAGCATCCGCTATTTCATGCAGGTGCCTCGTACCCTACCCTACCCTAGCCCCGCACCACTTTCTTTTTCTAGGAAATCTCCGAGTTTGAAGAGCGCTTCAACTGCCCCAACAGCCGCCAACCCGGCAACTGGTACCAGTGCCAAGGCCGCGTCGGCGTCATTCACGCCGATGCAGGTGTCATCCGCGCACCCATCAATGCGTCGCTTGTCGCGTACGACGAGTGCTTGAGCGACGACACGCGCCGTGACGCG